GTACAACTACTTGAGAATGCTGCATTCTGTTTCTCCCAATCATGTGCGCAACCATTCATTTCCTCTGGGTCTTTGCTATCAATTTGTTTGGCTTTTCTACGCCTTGCTGCTAATAAAGTTGCTTCTAGTGCACGCCTCCTAGCAATATTGACATAGTGGTCTTTGTGGGTAATTGAAACTGGCCTCTCCCTTTCGACAGTAGCACCCAGGGCTTCAAGTATTTAAGACTAGCAGAATTTCATGAGAGACCAACAGATACAAGCATGTTGCTTAGATTGCATGAAGAAAAGAAAGACAGCTGAAAAAGGGAAAAGGAAAATGCTAGGAAACCAGCTCATGATGTTACAGGTTAAGTAGGAAAAAAAAAAAAAAGAGCTAACCAAGAATTAGGTACCTTTTCAATAGCAGCATCATCTGGGATGACAACATGACATTTGCAGCCAAAGGCAGGAGAAACACTAGCAAGGCTAGTTGCAGTACTTCCAGCACTACCCTCAGCGACTACTCCACCAGAAGCTAGTTTCCCAGACTCCAAAGCCTATATTGAGAAACAAATTAGAATGTATAACAGAGAAACAAACCTGTTCACAAACAAAGCTCCAACATTTCCCATGCAGATTATAAGAAACAGTTTCAAGCATCAACTTGTTTTGATCACTAAGAAAATGCATAAGTGACAAATAAAGTGACGATGAACAACAAAAACTTCCCATGCATGAAGATATCTCTAGCGCTTTGAGAACTTCCAAATCTTCTCCAAAGTGAATCTAATCTCCTCTTACAAATCATGTTTAATTCAATCTTTTCTATTTTGTTTCATATAACTTTCATGAAATTTAATCCTACACCTATTTTCTGGATTTCAATGTCCATAAGATCTCAACGCATCTTAATGACTGTACTGAGTAATCTGAAATGAAACAGAATCCAAAACACAAGGTCAGAGAAAACATAGTTTACCTCTTTTATGATTTGCACAGCAACTCTATCCTTCACACTTCCTCCAGGGTTTAGAAACTCACACTTCCCAAGAAT